AAAAATATTGGCAAATTGGGCTTGTTAAAACATACCTGCTCATCTGTGAGCTTCACCACTACCTAACCTCTCACCCCTAAATGGGATAGCCAAAATGCTGATCCAGACTTCACAGCAAGCATTTCACACTGATGACTGCTCAGAAAGTTAAATGGAAAGTAGGGATATTATGGAATCTTCATTTTATTATGTGAAGTATTTGACAAACTAGCTTGCTAGAAGAGTTGAACCAGGAATGATTTTGTGTGAAAGCCATTGAGAAAGATCTAATACACTCAGCAGATAAAACTATTCTTTTACAGCACTTTGGTATAATGAAACACCTGGCTGGAATCACAACACATATAGGCATGGGATTCCAGTAAAAGGAAATTAAATTGAGGTTGACTTTTCCTGTAATGGAAAAACTTCATTTTTATACTTAAAGGCAAGTTAAACCACATTTGGAGATTTTATGTTCAATTACTTGAAACATTTACAGTTTCTTCAGACTAGCCAGAGCCCCTCCAATGTAAACTACATATTGCAGCAGCTGTCTGAATATCTATTAGTTGATTCAGATTTATCCTGTGATACCAAAACCTCTAAGATCTCATGGAACTCGAGAAAATTCAGAACTAATAGAGAAAATAAAGAACTAACTTTTAAAGTAAAAGCTGCTTATCAATTTTATCTGCATTTAGCCAGGAAATACCATTTTAGTCTTCCTGAAGAGCTGCTTTCTAAGGTAGTGTCTTCACAGTAAGAAAGAGAATAATAATATAAATATAATGATGAGAAGGGGCAAATGTTTGTCTCATTAATTGAGCTTTTTGGAAGAAGCATTTGCTAGACTAAAATATTTTTTTTAAAAAAGCAAGTAATTCTTCAGGCCTTTAAAGCAAACTTGCACACTTCACAGTTTTTATCCAGCTATAATAAACTACTTTTACAAAGGAACAATTCTCTGTCTACAAATCTAGTACTTTTATTTATAACCTTTCCATCCCTCCTCAGACTTAACCATCACAACCACAGAGTACTGTGGTACATGTTTAGGGCACAGAATGCTGGCCCAGTGTCAGAGATATACAGACTACCTGTCTTTTATGTGGTCTTAAACAATAGCAGCTCAAGCAAGTCAGCAGAGCTTACAGCATGTTAAAGATGGAACGCATTGAGTGGAACACTGTATCTTCAACAGCACAGACTTCTGCAATTTTCTTGGGATGCAGGCTGTCAGGAAGAGATAGTGGAACTAAATGGTTCTCCGGAACTCTCCAGTGCACCAAAATTTCAGCTAGACCCTCAGAATCTGCACAGCATGTGTGACCTTGTTAACCAGTTGAAGACCAAAGAATTTCACATCATAGAGATGCCTTCTAGGAACACAGTCGTCCCTTAAGAGCTTGCATCTGCAACAGGGGTACTTTCAGCATAAGTTTCGATTCACTTGACAGTTTAGAAGGAAAAACTCCAGGTCTTCACAGACATAGCAATGGCCTTTATGACTGTTTTTCCTCAGGAATGCAAAAAAGCAAATGCTAACACAAAAAGCCCAGTGTTAGAGATACATGGTCATGATGGCTGCTTTCATTCTAGTTTTAGTACTTCCTGATAATAAATATTTAGGAAATCCACAGTAAACCTTCAAAACTCTGTAAATTAGGACAAAAGAAACCATCAGTAGCTACCATGCATGCATTAGATCACTGTCAGACAAACTACTTCTGCAGAGTGGTCAGGAACACTGAAACTTACTGTTTGATAAACTCGGAGCAGTAAACAAGCTGATGAGCTCAGAAAACAAATTCAGCAGCTAAGACTGATCTTCACGTGCCATTTGGTTAAGTAATAGTAATAAAGTCTGCTAGACAATGACTGTCAGGATTTCTCCATATGGATCTTTGTTTTCAGAGTAAGCGTGTCTTTTTAGTAAAGAAATGATGCTAGATTACACCTAGATTATATACAGAAGTCTAAAAAGCTAGAGACAAATGGTCTTTTTTTTTTTTTTTCTTTTTTTTTTTTTTTAAAGAAGAGAGGGGTGTTCAACTTTGGGAAAACTTGAAAGAAACAAAAGACATAAACTATAGATTATATAAGGTAACCAAACCAAAAACATTTGATGCAGGTGGTAGAACTTACTGCCATGAGGTACAGCCAAATCCATTAACTTAATATAAGCTTAGCTTCCCATTTTCAAAAGGAGGGGAACAACGAAAACACTGTTTCAGAGCATAAAAAGTGCTTTCATGGCATCCAGAAGATCCAAATTAAGCTAGCTCTGCACATTGTATTTACAGGCAATCACCTCCTGCACAACTAGCTTAGCCTCTGTATGAATAGAGCAAGTTGAATCATTCAGCTTCCTATGTTGGACTAGATCCCCATTTCTCTGTCTCCTGTTGGAAGGCTGAAGAAGTCACATGCCTGAGGACAGTGAGTAATAGTGAACAAGCATGATATTCCAGCTGAGAACATCATCTGCTGTCTTTGATAGTGTTCCATTCTAAAAAAAAAAAAATCACATGGATGACATTCTCAATGCTTCCAAGTCTAAAGAAAACACTTTTCTTTGTGTTAATGATACAAATGGCAGGGAAAGAAAATCTATTTCAGTTCTTTGTGGTAACTGCTATGTAAGTGCCAACACTTTTCCAGGCAATGTAGTTGAAAACAAATAAATAATGAAGAATAAGTATTACTGACAAGCAATAGCGTCACTTCTTTTTGTTAATACCAAAGTAATTGAACAAATCAGGTAGGTTATCCTGTAACCCTTTTATACTTTCAAAAAAACTGGGGACATCTAATTACAAACACACCTTCAGCACAAGCAATTTAGAAACATAAGGGAAAAGCGTGGATGGGAGTTTTGGCAACACTGAAACTCAAAGAGACAGAATCACAGTATCAGAACACAAGAGGTAAAGCACAGAGCATCTGAATACATCTTCAGGGGAATCATCTAGTAATCTGCTGGTGTACAGCTCCTTTGGATGACAACACGTGAGACTCGTGCCCATGTGCATCTGTAAGATAGATACACGAAGCAGTACTTGGAAATCAATAAGACATGGAAGCACGCTGAAGTCTACAGGCTGTGCAAGCCTGGATGAATGAGGTATAAAACAGTTAAGATATATTTAGATCAAAATAAAAGCTACATTTAAGCTAACACTAGATGAAAATTAAGCTAGCACTGATTGCTTGTGGATGAACCTCAATAGTAGCACTATCTGTAGAAAACAGATATGGAAAATGGAAATACTGTATTTACAGGAAACTAAGAACTTGTGTTACTATTGCAACACGAGACTTCAACCCCCATTTGAAGAGTCAGCTGATGCTGGCAGACATTTTCCAGTCTTGTCTTAATTTTCCTTCCCTATGCTCTCAAACTAATGCTGGTTTTTATCATTAATGCCAGGCTTTGTCCCTTATTATGGAATTAATGCTTTTTCTACCATACAAACAACAGTTTTCAAGAAGATTTAACATAATATACTTAAAAGCACAGTGAAAAGTTACCTGCAACATTTTTGGCCATTCAAAAACTGATTCATGCTGATCTCAATTAACATATTCTTAAGTAGAAAGTAATTAAGTGCAGATATTAAATATGAATGCTTGACTGTGAACACCTTTAAAACTACAGGGTAGAGAAGCCAAACATTCATCTACCGTGGATTCTGCAGCGTCAAAGTCAGCGCAAACACAACAACTTACAAAAGGTGTTAAGGATCTGCCTTGCAGTTATCTGCCCTCGCCAGTGCCAACCTACATTTGCCACATCCTCACTCAGGTGTTGCCACAGATGGGTGGGTCAATAAATCACCTCCAGCATGCTGTCAGTGAGTTTGCCTTCACTTCCTCAAGAGGTATTTGCATTTGAAATGCTGCGATGGATCAAATAGCCCAGATACTCTGCTGAAGTATCACATCACCATGAATAAAAGGATCACCAACTAGATTATTCCAAGGAGAGCACAAATTCTCTCATCAGTGGAGCCTGGTAAAAACATAGGAGAAAATCACTTTGGGCAACTGCAGTGAAGGGACAGAACCTGAAACACATATGTCATATGCTGGCACATAAGCCAACGGTTTTCCCCAGAATCCAGTCACTAAAATTCACGTAAAGACAAGAAAGGATCTTAGGGGTGACAACTGGAACATCTCATTTAAATTCGGGCTTCACCACCGCCTACAGGAATGGGAAACGCATGGGATTTGTCACAGCACCTTCAGCTGAAAGCTGTCACTGGAGAATCGCTGCCAGCAGCAGCAGCGGGAGCGCCATGCCTGCCCCATAACCCTCCGTTCGCCGCAGTGCCCAAGGCACAGCGAGGACCAGCTTCGCCCATCCAAAACAGCAGGCAGAACGCGCACAGAAACTGGGAAACGGCTTGTGACAGACCGCGGGGATATGTGGCTCGGCCTACGTCGAACAGCTCAGAAGGCTCCCCGTCGCAAAATCCGGCGTTCCCCAGCTGCCATCATGCCGCAGGCAGGCGGGGCGGGAGCTGAAGGTCAAGGCGCAGAGGCCTCTCCCACGGACAGATCCCATCCCGCCGGCGGACGGCGACGGCAAAGCGCAGCACGGCGACGGCAAAGCGCAGCACGCACCCTTCAATGGGCAGAGCGGCGCTTCCCCTCCCCGCCGCGCCCGTTAATGACCGCTGGAGGAGACGAGGTGACCCCCTAGCGACCGCCCGACCCCTCGCAACCTACCCAAGGGGGGACGAGCGGCGGCAGGGCCCTGTTAAACGAGAGGGGGGAAGCGATAGCTCTCGCTTACGGCCGGCTTACCGAAGCGGCGCTCCGTTCCAGCGCCGGCGGCCCGCGGATCAGCTGATGGTGACCCAGCGCGCACGCGCCGTCCCCTCGCTCCGCGCGGCGCAGCCACGTGACCGAAAGCCCCGCCCCCCCACCTCCCCCGCGCCGCTCTTCGCGCGCCCCAACCACTCCGCGCACGCGCCCAACGGCGCGGCGCGTGCGCGGCGGGGGCGGGGCGCGCGCGCGCGCCAACGGCGTGAGGTGAGGGGTCGTGAGGGCGGGCGGTGGTTGAAGAAGAAGAAGAAGGAGGTGGCGGCGGCCCATGTGGAGCGGTCCCAGGAGCGGGAGGCTGAGCCGCTCGAGCTGCCCGGCCCGAGGAGCCGGTGGAGGAGGAGGGAAAGGCCCAAATCGAGTCGTCGGGCCCTGCGCGCTGCTAGCGGGGACGCAGGGAACGGGCAGGCCGCGCCATGAAGGGGTGAGTGTGGGGCCCGGCCGGGCGGTGGGTGCGGGGCCTGCATAGGCCGTCTCGCTTGGAGGCTTCTTCACCCCGTGGGAGTGGCTGTCCGTGTTCTTGAGGAGATCGGGGAGGCCTTGGGCTGCGGGCTGCTCCTGAGTGCTGGTCCGGCAGTGAAATGAGCCCTCGTGGTTCTGTGAGTCTGCCCGTCTCCAGCAGGCTGTTTTATTTTATCGTAGCTGACGCCGTCCGCCTGATTGTAGCGTGGGTTGAAGTCTTGAAGTAATAGTTTGTATGGATGGGTGGAAGGAGCGGTGCCGGGAGGCTGTCTTTACACCTCGGTGGCTCCAGAAGACCTTCCGGTGGTCAGGTGTGGCTGATGGGGCACCCTGCCTGCTGCGGCACCCTGCCTGCTGCCACCGCTAGGGAGCGAGATGTGAGCACCGGGCTGGGGGCACTTGGGTTGGCTTCCGGGCCAGGTGACCCGCGTGACCTTGTGCAGGTTGCTTTGAGGCGGTTGTCTCAGCCTCTTAGATTACCCAGTGCTCCTTGGTTCAGGGCCATCTGCATTCCACGGACCTTCCTCCCCCTGCCTCACTTTCTTCTTGGATGTAAAGGTGGTTTTCTGCAGCTGTTTCTCAAAGCAGCAATAAACCAGTCCTCTTGAAACTTGTAATACTCAGCCTTGCGTAACACTATTCCAGTTTCGCAGCTTAAGGCGGGGGTGAATGGAAGCCGAAGCACTTAAGCTTTTGCTAAGAAATGGTAAGGGGTTTAGCTTATTAGCAATTGGGGTGAGGTCATGCAGGAAGGCTGCCTGATAACAGGTACTTAGCCGTTTCCTACAGCTCATAAGCCACTTCCTGCATCGTGAGGGGCTGACGAGTATCTGTAGGAAAGAGGTTCACTGCTGATTGCAATTAAAAATGAACCAATTCATAGCTAATGCTGGGTAGGTGTGTTAAGATCTTGAACAATCTTCTGGAATGCTGTAGGTGAAATGGGGCATTTAGTGAGGACGGAGTGCTAAATGGCTTGGTCTTTGCTCAGTTCTAATCTGAGGACTACTTCCTTCCACCCTCTACTGGCCCAACTGAGTGACTGAGCTGTGGGGTTTGGCAGTGCTGCATGGAGCCCTGCTGGTGGGAGCCTGAGGGTGCTGAGGCAGATTGCAGCCTGAGCTGCCTGCTCTGCTGCCATGCTTTGTCAGAGGCTGGGTCCCAGCTTTGCTTGTGCTGCACAGGAGTTCTACCAGGGAACTTTTCTAACTTCTTTTTATTAAAAAACAGAACAAAAACAATACAACGATCCTTAACTTCTTTTGCTTTCAGAGCACCAGACTTGACTTATATTTCTTTGCCTTGCTTAAAGGTAGCTTTGTCACCAACGTGACTGGAGAATGGATGCCTTCAGGTTTTCTGCTGACATATTTCTGCTTTTCTGGTATTTCTTCATCTCTTTGAAGAGTATCACGTGCCTGTCTTTTTAAAGTACAGTTAGCATCACGCGGCAAGTTCTTGTGCTGGGTAAAATCTTCGTATTGAATCCAGGTGTTCTTTTAAAATTCACAGAGGCAAATGGGATGATAGAATTAAGCCAAAAATCCAGTATAAATGCAATGAGAGATGGAAAGGACTAGATGAACACATCAGAAAGAAAACATTAAATTACACTGGGTTACTCTTCTGGAACAAAAGCAAATTGTTTGTCAAGCTACAAAGATCAGGGTGCTGTTAGAAGGCATGTCCCAAAATAGATCTAAAGCTTCAACTCTGGCATATAGAAAGTAATGTGGTGTTTGAAGGGATTGGATCTGTTTTCAGTATTTAATTCAGAATTGTGGACTAGTTCTTTTGAACAAACTGACTCCATCTGAGTGTCTTTTTTTTTTTTCTGGGAGTATGTTGCATGGTAACATGCAGACCATGAAGCATAGAGAATTTTGGGAGCACTTCAGATGGAAGTCTGGGCTCTCAACACATTGCTTGCAGCCCTCTTTGTTAGCACTCTGAATTCAAAGTAACACGTAATGTGTTAATGGCACTTAGATTAATGTTTCTGTCCTCAAAGTATGCTAGGTTAGGTGACCTCTTTTACAGAGGACCTCTTATTTCAAGGAAAGTGTTTGTGGGTTTTTTTTGTTTGTTTTGTTTTTAATTTGATGGCTTAAATACCAGCTTCTGACTTTGTAATTACTGTTGTCTCTCCTGCTTTTGTGCTGCTTGGCTTTATGTTCAATCTTCCTTCGTCTCCTGAATGATTTTAGTGATTTAGAAACCCATTATGTTTCCCCCCTTTTTTTCCCCCTTAAATGTGATTTGTAAAACTAAGTTAATTCCTTAGTGAACTTAACAAATCTCTGGAGGGCCACTTCTTTTTTTTTTTTTCATTTATTGCATTCATAATTGTTATTGTTAGGTCTGGAATTTGAAAATCTACTTTAGACTATATTTGCTTGAGGGGAAAAATAGCAATGAGAAGGACTCAAGTTGTGTTGTCTGTAGTAAACTGTCTTTGTAGGCAGATGTAGATAATTCCCCCTATTCTTTATTGCTTTCACAGTGCTGATTCACTTGTTGCTCAGCAGCTTTGAATTTTGGTTACAGATTTTCTGATTGTTTTTAAGGAAGGAAAACAGGAAATCTTGCACTGATTCTTGAACACTTGCTGGTGACTGTCTGTGGCATTGAGGCTTTGCAGTATAGGTGTTTTCCTGATTTGTTTCAGTTCAGAAGAAGCCTGTGAGAAATCCAGCTTTTCCCCACTGTCCTTATCTCAGAGTCACATTACCCAGCTGATGTGATATGTGTGCTCCATCACATGCTCTACCCACTGTGCAAGTGAGAGCATTACATAGCATGCACTGTATATGAGCTGTGCTATGAGCAAGGCCCTGCACCTGTGATCCTGTGCAGGTGTGCTGTTTTGTGCTGAGGACCAAAGATCTCCTTGATTTTATCAGGAATTGCTTGTTGGTTGTATTATGTATTATATCTTGGCCACATGATGAAAAATTACTCAGACTAGGGAACCACTACCAGTGTCTTAAAAATCCTTGCATAGTCTTCTTATATATATGTATCAGAAGAGACTGCCTTCAAGCTTCTGTGTTACAGTTCAGTACACCTTATAGTCTCTAGAGGTTCCACTCGCTGCCACAAAGCCTTCAGACCAGCCCCATGCAGAAGGCAGCTGCTGCAATGGAACATCATGGTGCTGGCTTGTGCTACTTTAGCTGGCTCTGTGGAAGTGGCACTGCAGCTGGAGAACACTGAATGTAACAGCAGAGTACCAAATTCAGCATATTGAAATGCAGTGAATAGTTATAGGTACGTTCTCAGACCTCTGACTGCTTCACACAATTGTGAAGCAAATCTTTCAAGGCCCTGTAGCTGTTTGTGCTTCTCACAAGAACAGGGAGTATTTCTCTCTCTACTCCTTCCCAAGTTAGAGTTACAGTGTTTAGGCAGGTCTGTTGATTTGTTTGCCTCTACACAGCATGGTGCTAAGCTTGGTGTATATGGGAGGAAGCTCCAAGCTTATGAGAATTGCTGATTTGTCACATGCACTGGAGGCAGGATTAAAAAAAAAAAAAAGTAATTGAACTTAAAATTTATGTTTGATTTGGGAATTTCTCCTAGAAATATCCAGGTGTGAGTTGTACTTCCTGCATTTAATCTCTTGGTTAGTAAATTTAGACTTTGCTTAGTGTGCTTACAAGTTACTTAATCTCTTCTATATCAGTGCAGCTTACTGTAGGTTCTTTTAATCTAATTTATAACTTCTGCCACTTCAAGTTTAATTCAGTAATCAGCTTAAGACACACCATGAGATAGGAAGGACTGGCAGGAAGGGAAAACAGCAAGGACTGTGGTTGTTTTATGAAAGCATCCTGCAGCCTAATCTTTGCTCTTGTGTGGTGTTTGACTATTCACAGACTTTTTATGGGCTTGCAAGTTTGAAACATGCTAACTTAGGCAGTTCTTCTGTGAAAAATGTAGTGTCTTTAGTTAACCACCACATGCCGTGGATTCTGCTGCTGTCTCCTGAAGACAAGAGAAATTATGCGTCTTCCTTTTCCACTGACACGGCTAATAAGGAGTGATGGTTGAGCCAGATAAATACTTTTATACAAATGGAAATGATTCAGAACTTGAAAAGCCTGCCCATTTGGCAAATAGTAGAATTGTTCAAACCAATAATCTGAGAAGGCACTAGACCCTTTTTTCCCAGAAGAGGAGGGCAGGACAAGAGAAATCGGGTCTCTTTACTTCTTTGAGAACTGATAAAGGGGAAGTGCGTTGGTCCCTTGCATCCCTTTTTCTCTAGGTAGGGCAGGCAATTTCAGGATTACTTTCTGCTCCTTGTTAAAAGAGGGCAAGGGATGAAGTGACCCGTGTGTTCTTCCCGGGAGCCTTAGAAGAGCAGAAGTTTTTCCAGGAAAGAGACTTGAGGTGGGGATGATAAGAGAGAAGTCTGCAAAGAAGACTCACTCATTGTTAGAAGACTCTCATACTTGAAGACCTGAGAACAGAGAAGCGGAGCATTGAAATGGGGTAACTGTGTCTTTGTATCAAAGAAAATGTTATTGAATTCATTAAAGAAGGGAAATGAAATGAAGCTTTATAGAAGATAGAAGCAAACCCACTTTCATAATGCTGTCACTAGGGCACTAAACTAAGGTATTTCAATTTTCCTGGGGGTGGAGTTACTGTGTGAGTGATGAGAATAAGAGCAGCAGATGAGAATGCCATGCAGCACAGTTAGGTGTCGATGTACGAAATGCTTCCTGAGCTCACATGCCCTTCCTCTTCCCATTATTTCACAGACTGTTCATTTCTGGTTCTTAGCAGGCTTGAATCTTGACTCCTGAAAAATCTCATTTCCACCATCTTAACATTGTATTATGTTCTCGAGTGCATGGGGGAGGCCGATGCAGCAACTTATGGCTTAGGGCAATCTTCTCTAGCTGGTGCTTGGAGTTTCTGCCAGTAAAGACTGAGTTACATCGAAGTTTGCAG